TAATTGAAAGTTTCTCCAATAAAAAAAAAGCCCTTGACATAAAGAAAATCTAATTAAAATCTTTTCCTCTAACTTAGCAGTTGTAAGGAATGCTGTAGTGCAGAAATAATGTGAGTGCCCACACTAGCCTAAAACAATACCATTGTGGCATAGGGGAGAGAGAAGGCTGTGTTCCAATGAGAGCAAGTTACTGGGGCAGAGAGGGAACATACTTGCAGTGGGTGGGAACAAAACTTAAGGGGTTGAGCTCATGCTCAATGCATGAGGTCACACCTCAAACAAAGCGATGGTTGTTTTAATCAGGATTCACTGAATTAGCCAAAACTGGATAAATTTGCACAATAAATTAAACCCAAAGCAACCAATATATAATTTTGTTTGGTGCAATAATTGTGCCCAAATACCTTCAGAAAGCATGGCATCCCAGACATGAGGAAGTACACTTTTTAGTCTAAAATAGGGCTTGGCAAACTACAGCTCACAGGCCAAATTAGTCTCACTGCCTGCTTTTATATGGCAAACAAGCTAAAAACTGAGTGAGCAGTTGACAGATTGCCATCCTATGCTTCCCACGTGCAGAGGGACATAAAATGCTTGCAGGGTAGCACCATCCAATGGTTGCCATGCCCTTTGGCCTGCCAGCTCCACCTGTAGAAGATAGGCAGGGCCTGACCCTTTATAGAAAATGTTTGCTGACCCCGCTCAAAAACACTGTTGAGCTTCTAATTACAACTAGCTATCCTAACAGAAATAATAATAATAAAAAAAAAACAAGGAATGAGCCATCCTGTAGGGATAAATTTTACCCCATCGAGGGCCTCTCATTAGAAATTCTGATCTGTCAAGTTCTGCAGGGATCCCCAACCCCCAATCCGTGGACCGGCATGAGTCCGCGGCGTGCCAGAAACTGGGCCACACAAACAAGTGAAGCACTATCCACGGGATGCAGGCAGCACATGAAGCCACGCCCCCTGTGGTCCTCAGAAAAGCCTCTCTCTGAGGAACCGGTCCCCAGTGCCCTATAGGTTGGGTGCAACTAAAATATTGTATAGCTAGAAAGTTTCACATAAGAAAAACCCAATCCACTAAGTTTTCTAGCTTGCTACGCTTAGATAGTCTTCAGCAAGATTGCTTATGTCTCATTTGGAAAGAAAAAACTGGGTTTTGTAGTAGGATATTGTGAATGCTTAGAATTACTTTCAAGAATAGTTGCCCTATCACCAAATGTCCTATCTGAGGCTGCTTCCACGTTAGGCTTTTAACAGTATCTCACTTGCTTTGTAATATTACTTCACTTTCCTGAGACTTTTTTCAGCTTCTTACAACCTGTCTGACCCCAGTAGTCAACCAAATTGATTTGAGGGGGAAAGGTACTGGTCTTTTGTATCCAAGAGGTATAATTTTCCCATTTGCAACTAATTAATCAGATAGGGAAATCTATCCTCACTTAGGACACTTTCAGTGTGATTTTCACATTGTAGTGTTCTATCATTTGCTTTTTTTCAGAATTTCCATATCTAACTATAGATATCTATTGCAGTTCAGTGAAAAAAAATTACACAGCTATAATACTAATTTAAATTTTTAAACACCCATTGCTTTCTAATGATTATGTTTAGCATTGTGTTTTATTTAAATTTTTGATTACGTTTCCAGATCAACAAGTATAATTGTCCATAAAATATTAGTTTTTAAATGTCTTCAGGAAGCCATACTGGAATACATAAAATACTTTGCATATATAGTGAATTGATTATTAGTATCCAAAGCAAATTTACTGATGTTGATGAAAGTTTTACAAGTAGAAAAAGCACAAATTTTCCAATAATATAAAATGTCAGATGGAATTCTGCTACTTGTCTGCAGAGAAAGATCTATGACAAATGCTTCTTAGAGGTACCTACTGCTTCCAATTTTAGGGTTCTGCATATACTAAGCTGAGTCATAAGATGGCTGTTTTGCCTCTGGTTGGACATGCTGTATAAAATCTATCATTGTGATTTATAAACTATAGTTTATGGCTTGGATTTCCAGTGTGATGGCCATACATCTCACTATGCCTATGGATACATTTATTGACACTGCCAGGCTTCATATCCAACTATACTATTTCATTTTAAAAATATTTTTAAAAACATGTTGGGGGGTTTCAAGTGGAGTGAGTGAGCATTTGAATATTTGTTGACTTCCGATGGCTGCCTGGACAAGCCCCTTCAATTTATTTTGGAAGTAGTTTGCTATTATCTGCATTCTGGCCTACAGTCACCAACCTAGTTTTGTGCCCACTGAAGGTTTAAAACTCATAGTCTCACAGTCTCTAGCCCAATGTCTTAACCACTACAACCAAACTAATCACTACAGCAATCATTTCATAATATTATACTGGAAGTTGAAAACATGTTTTTAAAAAATCAGTGTTCCAGTTTCCAAAATATTATTCCCAGTTTTGTGTATTTTGTGACTCCAGTTATTTATCCAACAGGTCACTGTTATGTTAGCTTAGCATAACATATGAGCGCTGCCTTCTCCATCACTTTCATCATTGTTTTAACAATAGTTTCTGCATCCTGGTTCCAAACCAATACCAGGCCACACAATATGCTTTCAGGCAGTCTGCAAGTCTATGACAGAAATCAAAACAATCATAACATTTCAGGGCCATGTGTTAAATCCCATGTCTTTTTTAATTGTACCCACTATTCTGACGTGTTTAAATAATGCTTGTATGTTCTTTAGCGAAAAGAATCCCAATACAAATATCAATGTTTTTTTTTTAAAGGGAGAAAACATAGGTTATATAGGTTATAGCTTAAATCTGTATTCTTACAATTATATGCCAGCATAAGAACAATTTCAGCAGCCCAATGGAATATGTGCCTTCAAAAGAGACAAAGTGAGCTGGTATCTTACAGAGATAACCAAACCACATATTTTTTTTTCTCCTGCTGTCCTGCTACTTCCTGCAGCTGTTGGTAGTTAGATAATAATTGAATCTATTAAAGTTTTAGCTAATCCAGTGTTTTCAAAAGGAACTTTCAGAACAGTTCTAGCATCTAGTAGGTTAATTATTTTACTTTCCAAACCAAATGGTTTCTGATCTTAAAATAGCTTTTTAAATGAATTTCAGACACAGAATCCATGATGAAATTACTGACAAAGACTAAACAAAATTGAATTCTGATTATATCCTTTACACCATTTTACACTGTACAGTATAAGGGTATTTAATCAATAATATATGTATCTATATTCTGTGTATGTATTTATTTCTTACCTGTCCTGACAGTTGTTGTTTTTTCTCTGTACACAAAATACACACATATACACGCATCTGCCAACTCAAGATGACATTCCATGCATTTAATGAAATGATATCTATGAAAAATATATACTGTATCAATCTATCTCTATATCTATCTATCTAACTATCTATGTATCTATCTACCTACCTATCTGTCTGTCTGTCTGTCTATCTATCTATCTATCTATCTATCTATCTATCTATCTATCTATCTCATCATTATATTGCCAAGAAACAGAGTACTGAAAAAATTGTCACATCTGGTTGCTACCATTGCTCCAGGTCTATTAAATATAGTAATATCTTTAACTGCCTACTTTTCTTTACATTACTTAAGGTTTTCAAATCAAATTATGTGCATTGCTCAGGGTAGGGAGGAAGATCCTTTGACAATCAGTACTTGAGCATGCTGGTATTTAAAAAAAGAGTTTTAAAGCAACATATTCCACCAAGTTAAATTTTCTAAAATCATGGCCTGTGTGAGAGTGCTTGTGAATATTTTTGATGATCTATCTAAGGTGCTTTCAAAAGTTAATTATATATTGAAGTAATTCTTACACCATCTTTCCTAAGGTTGGCTATCACTTGTAATTTAATAAGAATTGAGCTGCCCAACATGACATACCAACCATAACACAGAACACCAACCATGAATTGCTGCATGTTACTAACATTAGATTTTTCTCCTGCCTTTATAAGTAAGTCAGGGTGAGTTACTTATTCAAAGTATCTGCTGTTGTTGTATACCTGGGACACCCAATAGTGAAGAACAACTGTAGTTGTTCTAAAGAATATTTACAAAAAGTGGTCCACAAAATAATACTATGACAAAGCTGGGAATAGTTCCATTTCTGACACAGTAGCTTTCATTCAAGATTTGCTAAGCGATGCTTTGTGCAGATCATCATATTCTGTGTAGCATTTAAAAGCAGAAGTAAGGGAAAATAAGACAATAACATTTTTGCTATGATCAAATCCAAATAAATTTAGTGCAGTCATTAACCAGCAGAAAGAAGAAAAGAATTTGTTTTCAAATATACAGAACATCCAACAATAAATAAGGAGCAACGAATGGAAAAATATGTTAAAAAGCTTCACTCTTATCGTTAAAACTGACCCAAAATTTAAAGTGGACATTTAAAAAAATGACCAGTGGGTAATGCTGAGGCAAAGCCATTTTCAGACAAGTTCAGTGGCTCTTGATTATTCTTTGTCTAGTTTTATATGTTACTACACAAAAATTTGGCAATCTAATATGTTATTTCAGGAGTAATTTATTGCCACTTCTTAGCCTTTTGGCCATAAACAATGGAAAATGAAATATATAGTAAGTATTGTAAAGATTCCCCAAAATATTTATCCAGACTTCCAGTATGAATATGATGCTTAGATATGGAATTTTACTTCCAAGTGTAGGGTACCAAAATAACAGAAAGGCTTAAACAAACAATCAGGTTTTCAGGTAAGGTTCTAGTCTGGTCTACAAATGGATTGATTTTTAAGCTGATTGGGATGGATGATTGTTATCAGTGTTCAACACACTAAATTATCAGGATTAGCAAATCCATTTTAGCTAAAACAAAAAAGAATTATCATGGGTCTGTTTTCTTACCATAGCTGAGGGCAAAATTTAGCTGCCTGTTAATTTCTACAAGATCAAAAAATTATGCACACAGTAGTTTTTGTTTATGTTTTGCAGGATGAGGTGAAACTGCCAACCAAGCTGAGCATAAGTAAATCTGTGAAAGAAGGGGAAGAAGGGGAAGAGATCCCAGCTGGTGAGGAGCACCCTGGAGAGGATCATATTGAGCTCTCCTCAGATGAAGAGGTTGAAGTTGAAGAGATTATTGAGGAATCACGAGCAGAACGCATTAAGAGAAGCAGCATGAGGAAAGTTGATGACTTCAAGAAGGCATTCTCTAAGGAGAAAATGGAGAAGACCAAGTTGAAAACTAGAGAGAACCTAGAGAAGACCAAGCTGAAGACCAAAGAGAACCTGGAGAAAACCAAGCAAAATCTGGAGAAGACCCGACATAACCTGGAGAAGAGAATGAACAAACTAGGCACTAAGATAGTCACCACTGAACGCAGGGAGAAGATGAAGACTTCCCGAGATAAGCTGAAGAAGTCCTTCACCCCTGATCATGTAGTCTATGCACGTTCCAAGACAGCTGTCTATAAAGTGCCACCTTTCACCTTTCATGTCAAGAAGATCCGTGAGGGAGAGGTAGAAGTGAAGGCCACAGAGATGGTGGAAGTTGGTGGAGATGAGACAGAGAACACAGATCTGCTGAGAAGCGAAAGCCCTGAGATGAGCACACTTCTGCAGATCACTGAGGAGTCAGATGCAGTGCTTCAAGAGAAGAGTGATAGTGAGTGAGGCAGGTGGCAGTATGAAAGCATCAAATGCTGAATATGTAATCTTCCACATTTTCCACATTTCCTCTTTTTGGCCTCACATGGGCATGCGCATGCACACATACACATGCATACATATACATACACAATATATACAGAATTTTTACAGCTCGCCTCCCCCTTCTTCAACATGTAGCTTCAAGGTGCATTTTTGTATATTTCTGATTCATCATATAGAACATAGAACATACTTATAATCCAGCAAAATACCATTCCTGCTACTAAAAGCTTGCTTTGCCAGCCTGCCATGGCAATACCCCAACTTCCCAAAGGTGCTACCCAAGAAATAATCTATTTCTATGCCCAAGAAGCATGCTGCTTCTTAGCTATCCTCTTTGATGTCAAGAATGCTTCCTGGAGACTTAAACACAAACTTGTCAGACAGAAGACAAAGCTCAGGCATGGAAGCAAAGAAGGAATTGGCTCAGTATATCATAGAACTAGGGGATAATGAAGGGAACATGGAAATTACTGCTTGAATTCAAAGATATTGTGATGCCATGTAGTGCCTGATTCAGGTATACAGTCTGTGCATACTTCAATTTCCAAGAGATTATATGGAAAAAAAGTTGCACTTAGTAGGCCTTATTTCACCAGTAAAAATCAAGTGATTGCCAATGAATACATCAACAGGAAGTAATATAAACAGGGTGTCCATTTGCACTATTAGCTACACAGATATGTGAAGCTACTTTGCAACATGGTTGAAATAGGGATACTGATCTGGGGATGAGGATTGGATGCAAGGAACATTAGACAAGTAGGGAGAGTCAAGGGGGAAAAGATGGCTCAAGGACAGAGTGGATGTGGCCTTATGACAGCTTTAGCTACGAGCAATAGAGGGTTACCAACATCAACAAAACAGGAGGCAACTATCATCTATTTCATTAGCAATCTTGACTTCCATTCCTGGACTGGATCCAGAGAGCACTGCAGGGTTGTTTTCTGCCTAGGCTAGGGCTCCAGCAGTAGGCCAGCTTTAACTAGTTGTGTAATACTTGAGAACATGCAGTTTTTACTAAACTTGCAACATGGAAAGGGTGTCAAAGTACAAGAGTTCACTAATACAGGATAATTTGTTATGGGGAAAGGGATTCTCAGATGCCCTCCCTGAACAATACACTCAAAATCACACACATACTGACTTCCATACAGCTACCTCTTTGGCTTGCAGGGGACAGTTTTCAAGCGAGCCTGAAGCCTCGCTTTCTAGTCACAAGTCAATGGCCTCCTTCCCCATTTTCTGACACATGTAACTATCCTTCCCTTGCATGATTTTGTGATTTTCCCCAGCCCCTGCCTTCCTGCCTTCCTCACATTCTACTGGGATTTCCCCCCAGTGTCTCTCTATGGTCAAGGAGAAAATATTTGCAGCTATGAATCCATCATATGTCTTGCAATTCTGCATCCAGCGTATCTACCACAAATACCACATCTGTACCAGAACTGCCTATTCTAACATCCCCAGAAATGGCTTGGCTATCCAGACCTTAGCAAGAAGAAGTGTATGTGTGTAAGGGGTGTTTTTATTGGACTGAGAAGCGTGCGAGCAAGTGAGTAAGGGTTGTTCCTTTTGCACTGCACTTTCCTTCAAGCCTTTCAGTTCTTATCATGGATCTAGAAGAAGAGAGACCCCAGGATATAAGATATGCTTGGCTTTCAAAACCATCAAAGATGGGATGGGGATCTTGCCTCATTCTGGGGAAAATAAATATGTGGGGAAGAGGGTGCTGTGCCAAGCAGCCGCATTGCTCTTTTTTCTAAGACTGCATCCTGGTGAGCAGCATGAATAATAAACTTTCTTTTCTACATGGACAAGTGTAAAGTGTTTGGGGGAACAACATTACACAGGTTAGTGAACTAGAAGCAGGAACATTTCCACAATCAAATGACATTTTTTAAAAGTACACCAACACTTCCCTTATGTTTTTGAGGAAAGAGCAGGAAAGTTCCCAAGAGCAAGAAATAAATAAGGAATGAAACATAGATCCCATTGGGAAGTGGGGAAGGAAGAGAGCAACTGCCTCAGTAGAAGCAGGATTGGCCAAAATGACTGTTCACTCTCTAGAGCAGCCCTTCCCAACCTGGCATCCTTGAAGGACAAAAATTTCCAGCTTGCCTAGCTAAAAGATATTGGTTGGGAATGGTGGGAGCAGCAGTGCCAATACAACCAAAATGCTGTGGTTTGGAGAAGACTGCTAATGGCTTTGCTTGTCCACCATATTTTTACTATTTAATAGATCTTACCAGCAAAAACAAAGATTTACAGGGGATTTCTTTCAAAAAAAAGTTCAGTATGTTGTTTTTTTTTAAGAGAGATCGTGTTTCCCCATGGCTAATAAGGCAGGAAACATCAGTCGAACTAAACAGTTGTTTTACCCAAGAATTTAAGAGCAGTTGCTCTTCAGATACAAGATTTTAGGGGAAAGACAGGTGAAAGGAAGTGAAAGGAAACTGGTTTTTTTTATATACACATAATCCCCAATTTACTACAACAGTTCATTTAGTGCAGGGGTGTCAAACTCAAGGCCCATGAGCCGGATCCAGCCCGTGGAGTGCTTAATTCTTGCCTGCAGGACTGGCCTGGAAATAGCAAAGGCTCAGCCCACGGTGCCTTTAGCCAAAACGCATGCGGGCCCCCCTGCACCAGTGGTGAAATGTAAAATTTGTTACTACCGGTTCTGTGGCCGTGGCTTGGGGGAGGGGGGTAATGTGACGGTGGGCGTGGCCAACTTTTTTTTTTTTAACTTTTAAAAGCATTTTTTCTACAACCTCTTCTGCCAAACAGGTTGTTTAAAAAATGCTTTTAAAAGGCTCTGACGATCCCAGCTGAGCCACGCGATCATCAGAGGCTTTTTTTTTTTCCCCTTTGGCCGAAGAAAAAATGCTTTTAAAAGTTTTTTAAAAAGCCTCTGATGGTTGCACAGTTCAGCTGGGCATGGGGGCAGGGCAGGGTTTTTGCTACTGGTTCTCTGAACCACCTGCCGCCATCACTACTGGATCAGGCGATCCGGTCCGAACTGGGAGCATTTCACCCCTGCCCTGCACTCCATTTTGGCCAGCAGGGTGCTGCAGGAGAATGCTGAGGCCGAAAATGGGATACTATGCCCCATATTGGCCAGCAGGGTGCTGCAGGAGGTATTCGTCCTGTCTCCCCCCCTCCCCACCCCAGCTGGCCCATGGAGGAGAACTACAATGCTGATCTGGCCCTCGAAGAAATCCAGTTTGACACCCTTAATTTAGTGACTTCAAAGTTACAACTGAAGTTACAACTGAAAAAAGTGAGTTATGTCCATTTTTCACACAATTGCAGCATCCCCATGGTCATATGATCAAAATTTGGATGCTTGGCAACTGGCATGTAGTTATGACTGTTGCAATGTCCTGGGATCATGGGATCATCTTGTAACCTTCTGATAAGCTAAGTCAATAGGTAAACCAGACTCACTGAACAACCATATTATTAACTTAACAACTGCAGAGATTCACTTAGCAAGAAAGTGAAAGTGTGGCAAGAAAGGTTGCAAAATGGGGCAAAACTCACTTAAAAATATCTCAGTAACAGAAATTTTGGGCTCAATTGTGGTAAGTCGAGGACTACCTATAATTCACCTTGGCTTGCACAATTTTACCTTGCAGGTAATTTGATATATTGATGGCTCGGCATTTATTTTTTCCTCTAATCTCTCAAGCAGCATTCTCAAATTCTGGTGCCAAAAACATTTCCACACCCTTTTGTTCTGTACATTGGCAGTTAAAGGAAAAGAAAATGGAGGTTATTTAGACTTGATCCGAAAAAAATCCCTGTTTTTGTAGCCACAGAATACTGGAACGTCAGCTGGAAAAGGAAAAAAAAATGTGATGAAATGATGGAAGGAGATACAGATTACCCTATCAATGTGGAAAGTATTACATTAAATGTTTTTGCCGCCTGACTCAGTGACTGGGCAGTTGATAACAATGAAATTAAAATAAAAACAATAAAACAGAAATGATAATAACAGAAAGGGCAATAGACCAGATGAATGTGTTTAGGGGTCTTGCTCTCCATTGTCAGTTTTTTAATTAAAGTGTTTATATCCTATCCTTTCAATCCAAATGAATATCGTTAAATATTCATTTATTATATTTATATGACTCTAGGCAGCATACAATAAAACCATAAAAACAGAATTCATATTAAATGCAAACCATTATCACTCTTTTGGGGAAGCAACAGAAAACCCTGATACCACTTTTTCCTAATCTCTGGGGCAAGAGAAATTTACAGTGACTTTCCCTGGAAGAAAAAAATCAGTCTTAGCTTCTTTAATACATTACAGGCAGGGGTGAAATGCTATTGGTTTGCACCGGTTCGGGCAAACCGGTAGTAATAAAAACTATAGGTTCGTCTGAACCGGTATTTCCGACGATCAGCTGTGTCGCATCATTTATATTCGTTAGAAAGCAGGAAACCCTTTCTAGTGAGTATAAATTCACATCCTTTCTAGCGAATCTAAATCGCGTGGCACAGCTGTTCCCCCCCCCCACTGTAGGTGAGTAGAACTACTTACCTTCAAACCGCTCCTTTTTCCGTGCAAAGTGCGTATTTGGTTTGAACTGCGCTCGCATGCATGCATGTGCAGGGTGTGTATGGCACGTACTGTGCATGCATGTGCGTGTGGCATGCACTGTGCATGCACATGCAGTGTGCATTTGGCATGCATATGCACTCCGCATGTGTGCGCACAGCGCGTGTTTGGCGGGGAGCGTGCATGCATGGGCAGCAAACTGGTGGCAATCCACTGACGATTTCACCACTGATTACAAGTATACTACATCTCTTGTGCAAAACAGTTTATAGTTTGAACATTTGCAAATAGAGAGTAATATTTCACTTTTTGCATTTTTAACTATTACAGCTATTTTATGCATGTGAAGGCTTTTGCTTTCTTAAAAGCATTATAGAGTATAATTGTGACAGGATAATATTTAGCTTTCTCAAATTTTAAATAAAAAAACACCCTTCCCAACAGATGGAAAATTAATGATGAAAATTTTGTAAAAAGTTCCCAAAATTATTATATATTTTCATTACAGCCAGGTTAAAGATAGTGAAGGTTTTTTTTAAAAAAAGCAAACAGTATTGTACAGATTCATTATAGGTAGATGCAGTGTAAGATTTTAAGAGTGGAAATAAAAAATGGGATTATACTTCCTCCCCAAAGCATTTGCTCTACCTCCTCGAATCCAGTGGTGAATGCACATTAATATAGGAAATATGGAATCAAACAATTGATCCATCTTCCAGTTATTTAGGGCAAACTCATGCTTTTTGCTTGGCCAATTGCCAGTAATAGCCTGCAGAAATGGATGACTCCAGAGGTGGGTTTCAGCAGGTTCTGACCAGTTCTGGAGAACCAGTAGTGGAAATTTTGAGTAGTTCGGAGAACCGGTTAATACCACCTCTGACTGGCCCCATCCCCATCTATTCTCTGCCTCTCGAGCCCAGCTGATCTGGAGGAAATGGGGATTTTGCAGTAACCTTCCCCTGGAGTGGGGTGGGAATGGAGATTTTACAGTATTCTTCCCCTGCCATGCCCACCAAGCCACGCCCACAGAACCAGTAGTAAAAAAATTTGAAACCCACCACTGGATGACTCCAACTGCCACTGCCAACGCATCACAAATCCATCCTGTCCTAATGGTTTCCATTTTTGATTCCAAACTGCCATTTCCCACCTGAGGCATTTTAAGCCTTTCAGGGTGGTCCTCACTGCTTTGTTCAATCTAAGCAGAAGCCCCAGTCAAATGCTAATGTCCTCCTTTCCCAGCAATGGCTGGTCACTAACCTGGGGAACCATTCTATCCTGGACTACCATGCTGCTATGTTCTTCACCACTTGTCAACTTTCATTTTTTTTAATACCTCTGCAGATGACTAACAATGGTCCCTTAAATCAAGGGACCATTCTCACCTCTGGAGGGACTATCCTCACCACTCAACCTTTGCATTCCTTGGTGGCCATTGGTGGTGAAGAATGCACCCCTAAATTTCTCACCACATCCACAGACTTGCAATGCAAAGCTTCTCCTCCCTTTCATTTTTAAAGTCACAATGTTGCCGCTTTATTTCCACTAAGCTGAACTATTAATACATCCTTGTTACAAAGTGTTCATAAATTTATCAAAAATGTACCAGTGGAAGAGCAACACGTACCCATTACATTGCTTATTGTATCAGAGCAGTGATGATACCATCACAGAAAAAAAGAGAGTCTATATCAATGTTGAAAGAGAAGATGTGAGAAAGAGGTTCAAAGAATTCATTTATGCAAATCTGGGAAAGCAAAAGTATGTGAACCAGTGAAGAAGAAGCAATCCCTAAAACAGGGGTCGGCAGCTTAAACACTCAGAGCCACAAAGGTCCTAACCGGAAGCCCCCCATTCAATTCTGGAGCCGACCAGAAATCTGGTTCCCCCACCATAGAGTCTCCTCCTAGCGCGGCGTCCTTTTTCTTCTACCTGTCCTAACTGAAAGTCATATCAATTGTGGAGCTGACCGGCGACAGGGAGCCACAGCAGAGGAGTGAAAGAGCCACATGCGGCTCCAGTTGCTGACCCCTGCCTTAAAATGAAGAGGAAGGCACCGGAAGACTATCTTTATGACTGCCAGCCAGCAAGGTGAAATGGACAGAGGAATGACAACCACGTCCTACTATAATCATAATCCATAGTTGAGCACCAGTCCAGTCCCACTGCAATCTGGACAAAAGTGTCTGAAGTTGGCTTAATAAACTGGACCAGCAGAGGAGACAATCAGTTTAGACAGCAGGGCAGAATCCTTGTCTAACTGAAATTGACTTCTTGGGTTTCAGGAATCTTTCCCTCCCTTCATAGGAGATAAAGAAAAATTGAACCTGGGACTGTTTGAAAAGGATGCACTCTATCATACTTATCCAAGTACATGTCTAGTATCTGTCTACTTCCCCTTGCAGAGTCATTTCCATTTGATGGTATAGAACAGTGATGATGAATCTTTTCGGCACCGAGTGCTCAAACAGAAAGGTGCGTGCATGCATGCACGCGCCAGCTGGCGGGTCTTCGGGTTTCCAGCGCACACATGCATGCCAGCCAGCTGGTCTTCGCATGCACAAGAGCACCAGAAACCCAAAAACCAGCTGGCCAGCACGCACATGCCTGTTTTTTGGCTGTTTTTCGGGCCACTTTCAGGACATTTTCAGGCTGCTTTTCAGGCCAAAAATGGCCTGAAAAAGGCCCGAAAAAATGGCCTGAAAACAGCCTGAAAACCAGCCTGAAACAGCCCAAAAAATGGCCTAGTTTTTGGCCGTTTTTCAGGCCGTTTTCCAGCGCTCGCTTTGGCGCCTGCAAAGACCAGCATGTGCATGCCAGAAACCAGAAGAGCAGCTGGCGATGGTCACCTGCCCACAGAGTGGGCTCTGCATGCCCCCTCTGGCATGCGTGCCATAGGTTCGCCATCACAGGTATAGAATTTCACATTAGGAAAAAGGCCTAGGATGGGAGAAAATTAAGCCTTTTAATATAATCCAAAAAATGCAAATGTTAATTTTAAAAGCATACAATTACGGTATCCAACATTTTGTCTAGCTGTGCCACAAATTGGACTTTAGTCTTATAAACTAAGTCAATGTTGAAAGTCTTCTCACCCCTCAATACAAAAAAATACACAGCAGCTACTTTGCTTAAGTATTTAAGGAAGTAACCATGTGATTAATTTCCTGCTGGATTAGATTATGAAAGATTATTCAGATTCTTGAGAAAAGAATAGTTCCAGTGAAAGTGCTTAAAGTGGAATTTGGCTTGTGGCATCTTTTCCCTCTTTCAGTAACTCATTATCCTTTTTTCCAAAAAGTAGTGTGATGTGAGTAGTTCCTTTATTTTGATGGGTCTTCCCACAATGTCATCAAACAGACTGGAACAGCTTCCACTTATATTGTGGTCAGCTCAGTCAGCTGCACAGGAGTCTCCTCTGATCTTGCATTTCAGAAGAGCCACTTCTTTTTGGAGCAAAACTAAGAGAAGAATGGGCTTCTGTCGTCTGATATAACTATTTGTGGTAACATCATTTATAAAGAAAGAGCAGGAGAGCCACATACATAGCAGATACTTCTATGCAGTCAGAAAATAGGAATGGAAATAAAAATACAATGTTATTTATCTACGTAAAGCTTGCAGTGTGCTTTCACAATTGTGAGAGAGCTTAAGTCGGGCAAGTACCTCGAACTGCACAGCTCAGAGTTAGAAAAGAATAAGAATTGAACGGAGAAAGGAGTGATGAAGGTCTCAAGAATAATAGCTTAACCAATACGAAACACATTACAGACATGCAAAATAAGTCTTTTAGACCAGTGGTCTCCAACCTTTTGGACACCAGGGACCGATTCCATGGAGAAAGGTTTTTCCGTGGACCGGAGGGGTGTGTGGTTTTGCATGCTGCCTACATCCCATGGATGGAGCTTCACTTGTTTATACAGTCCAGTTTCTGGCATGCCGCAACCCGGTGCCAATCCATGGACTGGATGTTGGGGACCCCTGTTTTAGACAATGATAGAAAATAAAAGTGCATACGCTCTCTACTAACTTTCTTACCTTGTATTGCTCCTAATAGTTAATAGATTTGTAAATTCAAAAAGACACCATGCAAAGATAAATTCCAACGGATCAGTAGTATCCTGCAGAAGAAAAACACAATTAGAATCATAATGAGCCCTTCTAGATCAGACTAAAAACTAGTAGTCCAAAAATGGCCAATACCTTAGCATGAAAGTACACTTCTGCTCATATTCTCTAGTAATGGCATTCTAAAATGCACATTGGTATTAAAGAAGATACATCATGAGCAGGAGGACTAGATGACCTCCAAGGTCCCTTCCAACTCTGTTACTGTTACTATAAACAGTAAATAGTTTTAATGCTTCATAGAGCTGCACATTATGAAGAATTCCTTTAACCTATCTCAAATCTTCCATGATTTGATTTATTGTTTCATTTACTTTCCCAAAATGAAAATTTATTTGGCAAATCGATAGCAGAGCTTATACGATCAGTTCCCCAAAACTGTACTATAAAAAATACATCTAATTAAATGGAGAAGTAAGGGAGAAAAAAAAAGACAAAACAGAAAGTAGATACTCATCACATTGTACAATTCTGGGTAATTTGCAACAAATTTAAATAAGTTTGAGATCTAATCAAGTGCAGCAACACCTACAAAGCCCCACTTCCTGGAGAGAAAGCCAAGAATAGATTTGATATAAAAAGATCTAAGAACTTCATTCTGCTACTAATTTTAAACTATTAGACTGATGTGCTCAAAAGCACCTATTCCTTAAACAGGGATGTCAAATTGGTGGCCCGCAGACCGGATGTGTCACACCATGCCCACCCCAGCTTCGCAAATGGGAAAAATGTCACGAAACATCACGTGATGGCAACATGACGCGGTGAGTTTGAGACCTGTGGCTTAATACATATGGGAAACATACATTGGCCATATGATATCTAAAGCAAGTACTCCTTTATTAAATGTGTAATAATCTACAAGGAATTCAATAGTATAAGGAATTCAATTATGTGAAAATTTGTCCCATTTCAGAGACAGGAAATAGAACATAGAATATAAATGCATTTCTGGAAATAGTAGCCAAGAAGCATGTGCATTTTGTGTTACACATGAAAATGTTGCAGAGTACAATATTGTGAACAGGGAATGCTGACTCCAGCTCATAAAGGATTTGCTGACTGAGCTCTCAAATCTCTTGACTGCAGTCACAGTACCATAAATCACATGTAATTGCATTCATAGAACACACTAAGATATACCCTACACTATTGTTTAGCATATGTATAAATCAGACTTGGATCTGGAACATATTATATTGCAGGTGGTAGATCACAGGATTGCAACTGTATGTTTCTCCACATTTCTGCCAAGATATTAAAACAATCTAGCCTTCCCTATTTTTTTTTCCTGTTTTTCAATGTGTATGGTATTTTTCTTTTATATGGAAGGTTTCTGGCTGTTCTCCCCAGACCCAGTCTGCCACCTCATGGCCTAAATAAAATGTTGGTTGAAAGGTCGTGAATCATTTGATTTTCAATTAAATCTCTATAGAAAAGAGCCAAACTGTACCCACTGAGTGAGGTTAGAGGGGGATTGGAAGAAAGAAAAAAAGTCAAACCTCTTTTATTACAGTGTTTTCCTCATATAAATCATCTACATATCACTGTCTGAGCCAAAGACAAAATACGTGAATTGAGAACAATTAAGAGCAAACCCCACTCTTGATTAGCACTGGTAATGTTAGCTAGTTTGGGGAAATGAAACGTCTACAAGAAAACTCAGAGAACAAAGTCAGAGAACCCCAAAGACTTTTCATTTCAATCTTGAGCTACAAATATTCTCCTTTATCGGTACACATATCTTTAAAAAACCTCACCCAGAATGTTTCTGAGACAACTATGACCTGTGTAACTGAGAATCTCCACAGACACTCACCCAGAATCAATCCACTGATTTTCAATGTGATTCAAAGATGACATGAAGAGAAACACATTTTTCCTACATTTATGCAGTTAAATATTAACAAGGAGATAATATGCCAATCTTAAAGAAGACTGTAAGTCCACTACTAAGTCTAGACATTTAGTATATCTTCAACTGGTGATAGGCTCCCAACGCATAACCTGCTGCATCCATTCCATAGTCTCTCTGCTCATAGAATGGGGCAGCAGCTCAAAAGGTAAGCAGCCTAGAGGAGGACGGTAACAGTAGTAACAGAGTTGGAAGGGATCTTGGAGGTCATCTAGTCCAACCCCCATGCTCATGCAGGAGACCTATACTAGGGATTTGAACCGCCAAACTGCAGTCCTTTCTGATCGACAAGCTCAGTGTCTTAGCCACTGAACCACCTAGCCAGGCTACATGTCGCATCTTTCTCTTCCAATACCCTCCAGCCACCACATCCCAGTAATTGTGGTCTGACTGTCCCTTATGTCTAGTGATAAGATTAAATTATAATGATTATATAAAAGAATCCATGAGAAAAATGAGAGAAGACAACAATCTCAAAGGGCATATTTTTTTTAAAAAATCAGCCCCAATAGATTTAGGTTTGAGTCATTGCCATTGGAGTGTCCCTGAAGCATAAAATTAAAAAAAAAACTTAGCTGGATGACACAATATTTTCCCACTGTGAAAGAGAAAATGTCCAAGTCTGGGAATCATCTGATAATAGCAGTCATTTCAGTTGAAAATAAATATGGAGAACACGCTAAGCATGCAAGTTTACTGAGTGTATCTCAATTGATGTATTCAGCTTGCTGACATAGTTACAATGGCTAATAAATCTACTCAACTTGCTATGCCACAAGCAATTAAACCAAATTGGGCTAACATTATGCAAACCAATCTAAGACAGCATTCCTACTATAAATGGCCATAATTTTGGAATCAAAGGAGGTTAGAAATAAACTCTCCAGAAATGGAACGCCCTGAATCGTTTAGAACTTTTTGGCTGGAAATAGCAATTCTACTCCATGCTTCTTTCTCTTTTGTCTGGAAGGTGTTAATGAGTGGATAACATCCATGAGATCACAAGTGAAAGGCCCCTTCTGGATGCTTTCTGTCTCCCAGTTCCTTTGAGGGACATGGCAGTTGGACAAATCCTACAGGGTGACTTAAAGAAGCTGCTAGAGATAACAGTAGCTACACAGAAACATACCTTACCCTTATTTTTTTGTCTTTGGAAGCATGTTAAAGACTGGACTGAGTCTTGCTAACTATCCTGAAGAGAGAAGAAAGCTGTGTTGACCATTCTATGTAGCTATTAGAGCTACAAAACACATAAACTTTAAGATTCACTACCTGTTTTGCACCATGTAGGATCACAAATATGGCACCTGCTTCATTTATCTATTTATTTGTTAAATTTATTTACTGCCTATCTCACTGTGGGGGCTATTCTAAGTGGCTTACAATAACAAACAGGAAGAAAAATGAAAAGGCGTGTAAACAGAAGAAAAATAATAAACAAGGGCAAAGGAGAATAAATACATCAATATGATAACCAAAAAGATGGATGGGTGGAGAGCAGAGAGCAAAGGGAGTGGAAATGGAGTCTGCCATCAATCTAGCAGTTACCTCCAATGTGCAACTTCCTCATTTGGTTCCCAGGCCAATTGGCACAGGCAAGTGTTCAGGCTCTTGCAGAAGAATAGGAGGGTGGTGGCAGATCCTACCTTAGAGGCAGGGGTGAAATCCAGCAGGTTCTGACAGGTTCTGGAGAAACGGTAGCAGAAATTTTGAGTAGATTGGAGAACCAGCAAATACCTCCTCTAGCTGGCCCCAGAGTGGGGTGGAAATGGAGATTTTGCAATATCCTTCTCCCAGGAGTGAGGAGGGAATGGAGATTTTGCAGTGTCCTTCCACTGGAGTGGGGTGGGAGTGGAGATTTTGCAGTATCCTTTCCCTGCCACACCACACCATGCCTACCAAGCCACGCCCACAGAACTGGTAGTAAAAAAATTTGGATTTCACCACTGCTTAGAGGGTAAGATGTTCCAAAGAGCAGGTGCTGCATTCTTGATCCTGAATAATCAAAGTTCTTGACCAATGGAATTTCTCCCAGTATAAGTAGAATTGTCCTAGAGAGATGAGGAAGCTTATTAGGTAGCCTGGATCTATGCCATTAAGGGCTTTAAAGGTCATAACTAACACCATGAAATACACTCAGAAGCAGACCAGTAGTCAGTGAAGATCAAAGAGCAGAGGTGTAATATGCATCATCCTGGAGGCTCAAAGAGTCCTCTTGCACCAGCAAAAGATCCCAAATTGACTTCATGGGTAGCCCTATGTACAGTGTATTGTTGTAGTTTAGGCAACAGATAGATAGGGCTTGAGTAATTGACTGCAGGGAGTCATGATCCAGGAAAGGTCACAACTGGGGCACAACTGGAGCTGCTCAAAAGCTTCCTTGATCACGCCTGCTACCAGCTCTTCAAGAAGGAGACATGTCCACGAGAACCCCTATGTTGCATTCTGGGTCTGAACAGAGTAGTGCACTGTTCAGACCTGTCCAGAACTAAAGATGACAAACACTCGGATTCTGAGGCTCTATGCATCCAAAACCACTCCATCTTGTCAGGGTTCAGTCTAAGTCTGTTGTCCCTCATCGAGATCCCTATAGCCTCCAGGCATCGTGACACAGCAGAGACAGGATCACTTGGGTCACCATGTGTGGAGATGTAGAGTAGAGTTTCATCAGCAAACATGATTCCTCAACCCATGGTGGTCGATGTTCTCACCCAACAGTTTCATGTAGATGTTAAACAAGGGAGGAGAAAGTACTGAGCCCTGTGGGACACCGCAATCGAGTGATCGGAGCTGGATCTCCCAATCCCAACCTTGGAGGAAGAAGCTGAACCAGTGTAAAACTGGAGCCTGGATAGCTCTGCAAACTAAAAAAAGCACTGTAATTTAACACCAGCTGTCTGCAATTAAAAAAAAGTAAGTTCGAATCTTGCCAGGCTCAAGGTTGATTCAGCCTTCCATCCTTTCTAAGTTAGGTAAATTGAGGACCCAGTTTGTGGGGGCAATAAGCTGACTTTGTATAAAATATACAAAAGTACGAAGGCTATTGCTTAACGCACTGTAAGCCACCCTGAGTCTCCGGGCGGCATATAAATCAAATTTAAAAAAACAAACAAACTGTGCCACTCAGCCACAACTCATATGGACAATCCAAAAAGATACCATGGTTGATGGTTTTGAAGGTCACTGAGAGGTCAAGGAGAGTGAGAATGGTTGCATTACCCTCTGATCCTGCCAGAGATCATCCATGAGTATAACCAAAGCTTTCTGTGTCCCATAGCCAGGGCTGAATCTTAACTGAAAGGATTTCATTCATAATCCCAAAACTGTTGAACAACTACCTTTTCTACCACCTTCTCCAAAATGGGAAGATAGAAAATTGACCAAGCAGGTGGGGTCATTTTTTTTTTTTAAGTAGAGGACAAGCCTGATTAAAACCTCCCAGGAATAACCACTCATGCAGTGAGGAATTTATCATTCCATGAATCCACCTGGTGGTCACCATCCTGGAGGGTTTCACCAGCTAGGAGCTCCAAGGGTCTAATTGGTAAGTGATTGTGTTGACAGTGCAGAGGACTCTGTCCACTTCCTTAGGTCCAGCAGGGTCAAATTGCTCCCAAATTGTTGGGCAAGACATCTCCCTGGGCATTTCATAAAGACTAGCACCATGCAGGAGTTCTAACAGGGAACGAATCCAAGTGACAGATGTTGAACAAATTCTCCTGCCCAGCCCTGAAGATGATTGTCCAAACTTCCCCAAGCTAGGAGGGCTCAGGTGACCTGGAACATGGTCAATGTGCCACACTCTGAGGATAGAAAAAGAGCAGAGAAATATTTTGTTTTGCTACTTCTGTCACAAGAAAGGCCTTAATATTGGCTCTAAGTCATGTCTACTCAGAATCATCCATTTGGATCCTCAGTCTCTGGGGGCGGATCATTATATTGAGCCCAGTCTCCCTGTAGGGGAGGGCGATGTAAGAGAATCTCAGGGATATCAGGCTGTGATCTGGCAGGAGGATAACTTTGACCTCCCCATTAGATCATGTTGACATTGTGCTGATAAGAATATTAGATTTGGTGTGTGACCACAGTTCTGAGTTGAACCTTTAACAATCTGGGATAGGCCCACGGCCATCATGGAGGATATGAACTCTGGGCTGCTTCTGAAGCTGAACCCAGGGAAGACAGATTGAAGTCATTCAGAACAGTAGTGGGTTTCAATTTCAGTCACTACCAGTTCATTTGTGGGTGCGTGCGCGCTCATGCGACACTTCAGCGCATGTGCAGAGATGCCCAGGTGGGTGGGTGGAGCCACCACTACCAGTTCGCCTGATCCAGGGCGAACCGGTAGCAACCAACCACTGATTCAGAACCATAAGTTTGGGGAAATCCACTGACAATCCTACGACAGCTTCTAGCAATTCAGGCAGAGGGGTCTGTATAGTAGCAATGAGGGTGGAGGTTAGTTCTCTGAACTTGTGGGTTGGT